AATACAAGCTGCTTAGGTACTGATAATTCCTTAGTGTCTCCTGTGGCATAAAATACACATTTAGAGACTGCAGGTGGGCACCAAGATGAACACACAAACACATTCAACTGAAATATCCTCAGCAAGATTCTCAGAGGTAGGTACATAAAAGTAGACTTCTAGGTCCTTTACTGTGATCTGAAGAGTAATTTCTCAGCAGATATGACTGATCTCAGAACTAAAATGTACTTTTCTGACCCTTCAAAAATGTTTTGGTTTCTATCCTTCTCCAGAGCTGAGGAAAGACCTGGAGAGTCTCTTCTGTCCCTAAACCTCACTTGTTTCTAAACAAAGCTGAAAAGCATGGGGCAAGTTGCAATTCCACTGTGCCTCAGAAACATATACTTCTTAAGACTACAAAGCAGTCTTCAGGGGAGCGCAGGGCCATGGGGTAGGAGATAAAGACACTCTAAAATGAGTTTCTTTCATCTTTTTTCTGAAGGACGAAACAATTAAGAGCTTCTGTTCACTTCGTCCACTAGCATGCCTTCTGCCTGCCACCCTTCTCTTTCCTAAACGTACATCACCCTTCGATGAAAGCTTGTTCCACAGTCCAAATGTTCTCCAGAACAATCCCAAGAGGCTCAATTAATTTGACAATTCTCTTTCTTGCACGGTACATTTTCACCTGGATACTCCAGTGACCCACCCAAGGGAAATACCATGTCGGTCTGCTCCTGAATTCAGTAGCGCAGTCACTGATCCAGTCACCCACAAAGTACAGAGAGAAGTGCCTTTGCATACCCTCCACATCCTCTCTCTTTTTAATAATTCAAAAATATGAAACACAAACCCAGCACACTTCTGTTTTCTTCCATTGTAATGGTGAGGGTGTCATGGTTTAACCCCAGGCGGCAATTGAGCACCACACAGCCGCTCATTCACTCCTCCCCAGTGGGATGGGGGAGAGAATCGGAAGGTAAAAGTAAGAAAAACCTCATGGGTTGAAATAAGAACAGTTTAATAATTGAAATAAAATAAAGTAAAATAGTAGTAGTAATAATAATAGTGATGAAAGAATATACAAAGCAAGTGATGCATGATGCAATTGCTCCCCACCTGCTGACCGATGCCCAGCCAGTCCCTGAGCAGCAGCCCCCGGCCAGCTTTCCCCCAGTTTACATACTGAGCATGACGCCATACGGTATGGCATAGCCCTTTGGCCAGTCTGGGTCAGCTGTCCTGGCTGTGCCCCCTCCTTGACTTAGTGTAAGCACTACTTAGCAACAATTAAAACATCAGTGTGTTATCAACATTATTCTCATACTAAATCCAAAACACAGCACTATACCAGCTACTAGGAAGAAAATTAACTCTATCCCAGCTGAAACCAGGACAGAGGGAATTGGCAAAGAGCAGAAGGAGAGCAGCTAGTACAAAAAGCTACCCTTGCTCACCAGCATGTAGCTACTGGGCTTGCACTGACAATTCAACGTGAAGGGCCATGTAGATTCCCCACAGCCACCATTAAGGCCTTTCACCTCTGCACATACCAAATTTTCCAATGTCATTTAGAACACACTGGTTTAAATCCTCCTAACATAATCAGCACAACCAATACAACAACCAGCACTGTAGACTGCCTCCTCAGGGACAGTAAAAGAGATCTAGTTCCCTCGCAGACCCTATCATGCTCTGTATAAAGAGGAATAAAACTGGAATAAGTCTGTTGACTAGACTGGAGTTATTCCAACAATACACTAATCAAAATGAGATCATAAGTTAACTCAATATATACAAATAGTGGCAGCTGCTGGTTTCTATAGCAAAAATATAGTAAATAATTATCATCAGAAACACAAGCAAAAGCAACTCCTATGTATGATTCAATTACATGCTTCCATGAAAATTACAGGTTCGTAATTCTCATTAATTCAACTCAGCTAAATGAATGACATCCAAGCAACAAAGCCAGCAACAAAATACTATCTCAAAATCAATCACAGAAGCAACACAAATCCCTACCCAATTTTTTTAAACTAAACCCCCCGTTTTCAAACAGGTTTTTAAACAGTTTTAAAAAAACTCATTTTAAGTATCTTCAATATAATATTCAAGAATATGATTTTCCTATCAGCAGTGTATATAAGCATAAAATCAAAATCTTATTTAAGTCACCAACAACTCATTTTCTTTCCATTAAGGTGTTTTAAGCAGGATCTCAGTCTTTTCTTACATAAAATTCAAGTAAGACAATCTAATCCATCAGTAATGTCCTCAAGATGGCCTCATATATGCAATGAATTAAACACTCTCAAATATTTTATTTTTTCAAAGTGGTAAAGACTCACTACATCCCAATCATATTTCCCAGATGGTGTCATGAACCTCTTAACACTTCATTTCCATCATGTTCCATGTCTTGAGAAATCTGTTTTCAATCTTTCAAACACAAACAGGGCCTCCGCCCTCTGTCCCCTGATGCTAGATTCAGCAGTCCCCAGCCAACATATTCTTCATATTCTTTTTAGGGTGAATAAATTCATCTCCTCCCTCATCAATCACACAGAAACCTTCAATGACACATTCATGTTCTTCAAACTTCTTCGTAAGTATATTATTTATGTCTTCTATGAAGAAATGGAGGATATGCATTCATCAGAAGTAAGTAGCTCCAAGTCAGTCTAAGAAAAGCATCTGCAAAGCTGACTTGACCCTACTCTTGCTCCCAGTGTACTGGAGTTGTGACCTACAGATCCCGCTGCTTTTATATTTCATCTAGGGACCTGCTAATTCTCAGCTCTGCTTGCTCACAACGAAGAGCTCTAGAGGCATCTAAATTCAGTTCTGAGGATTTGGCTCAATGTCTCTATGTGGAAAAATACAGAATGCATTGATCTGAGTTGAAGCTCTAGGAGATGGAATTCTATCTTTATATCTCCTTTGTCTTGCATCCAGTCCTTTCATTTTAGCAAAACGTTTCTATTGAGGAGAAAGTTTTCCATCCTTCAAGTGTCTGACAAATGATGACTTTGGGTTTCTCTGTCATTGTTGCTTTTCGAGATCCACATTGGACTTAACTTCAACAACACACAATTTTCTCTCTAGTGACAGAACAAGCCATTCGTTACAATCAAAGCATTCTGGGTCTCGCTTTGCATAAGAAACCTTGGACTAGATGGTCCACCCAAGTCCCTGAATCCAGTGCTCTGCATACACAATTAACCATACATATTGACATCAGCAGAAGGAGGCTTCACAGAGTATCTGTTTCACATAGCCCCATCTACAAATCACAAAACACATTCAGCAGGCCACAGTAAGCTCCAGAAGTTGCCATAATTATGATGTGTGACATCTGAATGTGAAATTCAAAATTGTATCTTTCTTGTATATTAATGCCAGAACTTAAAATTCCAATGTTTGTTCCCAAACATTTCAGTATTTGTCCCAGAGTGTCTGTGTAACAAAATTCATGAAGAACCAGTGGAGCTGACTGGACTGAAAACACCGTTTTTGAAATCAACATTCTCCCAGCTGACCACAAGACTGCAAAACCAGGTCTTTCTTCCTCGTTCCTCTTTCTTACACTCCTAGCTGTACAATGGCTGGGTTTTTGGCAAGCTCTTTTTCAACACCTCTGCCTGGGAGCCTAGTGATTCTGGGGAGTGAGAGTTGTGTGCCTGAAAAACCCCAGCTAGAGACAGGAAACAAAGTTACTTACCACTTGCCATCTGGTAGATTATTTAGGATGAGGACCTGCATCATTACAGTGTACTCTGCTCAATGTTTTCAAAAAACATTCCTGACTGCCCCCATTCCAGGAGAAGATGCTGGGTGCTGGATTCCAAGCTGGCAGACATACTTGCCCTACTGCCTTTGATGCAAGTGCCTAAGCTCCAGAGAAAGTCACTTGCCTTTTTACATTAAAATTCCCACTGACTTGCAGCAAGAATTTCCCTTTCCACTAGGCAGGTTTTGGGATCATTCATCTGAGCTGCCTAAAGCACACTTTACAGGTGCTTCATTCTGGTCTGGGATTCCATTTTGTGCATTTAAAATTTAGGTCCTTCAGCTTAACTTGCAGAACTCTGTATCTTGCCAGATTCACCTCTACCTCACTTTCGTGGGAGCTGGAAAATGAAGTGTAAGAAAGAAGAACACGGGAAACTGGTAAGCAGTTTTACCATCATCTGCCCAGAGCTCTAGGGCTCCATTCCTCCTTCTGTCACAGACCTGATACCTCGGGTGAAGCACGTCACCTCCTCAGAGAATTGTGTTCCTAATCTGCATCCAGGGGATGTCACATGAAGAAATGCTGGGCATTTGCAGCTATTTCTAAACTTGGGCATTTTACACACTTGAAACATATACAGTGCCTTATGTGGACAGCTGCCCCTCCTGCCATCCCCAAAATAGCTACTCTTCGGTGTTCCAAATTTGTAGCTTTGTAGCTTACTGACTTATGACTACCATTGGTAGCTCTCCTGCCTACAAAACAGGGATATAATCATCCCCTGTCTCAGAGGGAAATCAGTTCATTATAGATTATGTTGTTCTGACTTCTCAGTAATAGGTTTTGCATGAATAAATAACACTGTCCTCAGCTCTGAATAGTGTGACGTAAACAATGCATGGAGCCAAACTGCAACTTTGCAAGGAGGAAACAGAATACTTGAGCCCTGTTTATTAAGTTAGCGGCATTCATTACATGCTTCAGAAAAAATGTTATGTAACCTCATGATCAAATAATTAAAGACTGCACTCCGTTCCACAGTACCAGGATGGGAAATTCAGTCTGTATAGGCAACCGTCCATCTGGTATTTTATGATTTCATAGTGTTGCTTTTGCAACCTTGTAAATGATCTCTTAACTTCATCTTTATGTACATTACACATACAAAATGACTATCAGCAGTGCTGCATGCAGCAGGAATGGATGCTAACTTGTAAGCAAATGCATATCATTTCTATGCTACTATTGTCTTAAGTATCACATGCGAAAACAAATCCAAACTCACATCTCTCATCATTTTCACTGCTTCCCTGGTCCTTCCCAGCTTTCTTGCACACATTGCCAGCCTCCTCTTAATATAAACTAACACATTGGTGTCCCTTCCTGTATAAGAGAAAAAAGAAACAGCATTAAGATAAAAAAGATAAAACAAAGCTTCATTTAATATTCCAACACAAAAGAAAACATAATTTTCTTGCCATTTTTTGTTATTCACTATCATCAATGTTTTCACAATAATTCTAATAAAAAAATTACCAAATTCTGCTGATTTGATGTGGCATAACATCACTGAAATCAGTGGAATTACTCCAGATATACAGTGGTATAAATAAAGACCCATGGGTTGGCCTTACACCTATGAAACATAAGCAGATCTGAGGGTCCAAAGAACAGTATAGGGTATAGACCATCACGTAACCAAGTGAGGCAAGGAGAACCCCTATGAAGTTAACATTGCCACAAAACTCTGTGGTCACACACAGAGCATTAAATTATTTACCAATTCATATACATGGTTAAGACAAGAGCATCCATGAAAATGCATGTTATATCCTGCCTTTTTTGTAAGTTATGTACATGCTTATTAATAGGAGACATAGCAAACAAATCCTCATCCTCTAACAGTCTTTTCCTTTAATGATTAGAAGAAAAGAAGTATACCCTGAACTTCCAGTTTACAGAGAGCTTTTACTTGTTACCCAGTTATCACCTTCAAATTCCTCACACCGCTAATTACTGAAGGCAAATTAACATGTTTCAGATATGACAGTCCTATGTGCTGGAGGATGCCCTAACAGCAAAGATGACCGAAAATAAACAGCTGCAATAATTATTCTCTTAGAGAATTCTTACTCCTTTCATTTCCTCATTCTCTTCCCTATAATTCCAATGTGAACTCTTCACATGCTTCTGGACCAACAGGAAATGAGCGGACAGCTAATCATCTATAAAATTACTGTATCATGAAAATATAAGACACCTGCTACAAATTATCTTTGTGTATAGTATGCAGCCTGTAAAGATTTTAGTCTGTTCCTAACATTTTCAAGTCTTTCACAATAAGAACAAGATGCGCACTGAAAACATTCCAGGTACCTACAAATTAAAAAGTTGTGAGTACAATTTTTGGATAGATTAAGCAGCAGGTTGAAAGGTCCGACTTTAAAAGAAAAAATAAATAAGGGAGGGAGGGAATTTCTTTAGCTGTATTTTATATTATGTAATTCCTTATCTCTGTATTGATACCTATATATTTAATAAACAATTTATTAGTTACATCTGTTGCAACAGGTGGTGTTACTAAGACGTATACATTTCAGGCCAAGCTTCTTTTCAGAAGAAATGATCAAAAGGCATTTACTTATTATGAAATCAAGATGACCTTTCAGGCCAAAATTTTCTGAGGTGACTACTGATTTGGGGTGACTAACATGAGCCATCTTCAAGAGAAGATTGCCCGCACTTTCTATAAATTAGCACGTTTTGAAAGAGGTTAAGTTGGATACTCAAAGTCATTATTTACTCTTAAAATTCATGGTCTAACATAAAATATTGTATGAAGGAGATGGAACACATGAATAAACAGAAATATAGAGCAATATGCTGTTGTTTAAGAAATTACATAGTGTTTTTCACCTGTAAAAGATGAAATGCCCATTTTTCATCCCAAAGTCAACTTCAAGGACCAGAAATGGAATGACAAACATCTCAGAACCATGGAGCAACTGCAACACATCTGTCCATGGTCCTTCGTCTCTAGAGAGATCTGAGCTCTCCACCTTTGTAAATCATGCAGAAGTCCAGCATATAATCAAGACAATCCTGCTTGAAGCCCCTGTGTCCAAGGCACCGCCTGGTGCTGCAACTTTTCTAACTCCTGTGGGTGCACACTGACATTATTAAGGGGAGCCTGGGTGGTATAGAGCAGTGCGATGATCTAGCCCCTCCTTAAGCTCCTCCTGAAGCCACGGTCAGAGCTGGCAGTCACTTTTCAGCCCCACCCGCTCTGTGGCAATGCACTTAATTTTGCAATTCAACTGGTTGCTTCCTCTGCTGTAATACTGAAGGTTCACGGTGTCAAATTTGACGATGACAGTAGCCATCTAGCACACACAGGTTAACAAAAATACCATACTTATATTTGCCCGCACAAACTTAACCAGGTTATCTTGCACATAAGCATTGTGACATTGTTTAATTACTCTTATTGTGTATTTTTCACAGAACTGCTGTCATTTTCTGCACTCAGGATGGATTGAGTGCACAAATTAAGGTTTCATAGACAACTGTAAGCCTGCTAGAGCCTGAAAATTGCTTCAAGTGCTCAACTGCTCTATATTTTTATTTTCTCCAAAAATAAGCAAATCATCCTAAATATCATTTTATAACCAACAAATGTTTAAAATACTACCCCCAAGCTTTATAAAACCTCAGGTTTTCAGGTATAGACTTGTGTACACTTTTGAAACCAGAGATCACAGACAATTTCACTGTGTACAATTTTTATCAGCAATCTTCAAATTACGTGAGATAGCCAGAGGCTGTGAATTCAGGTCCTGAGAAACCCAAAGATGTCCGAAGTATGTTAGTGCTTGTACTTACATAATTAATTGGTATTATTTTTGCCTGAGGTATGCATTGTAGACTAGAAATAACCTAGACTGTTTATCTTTTTGTTCATTTGCTGGCAGTGAACCCTCATGTATTTTTTTCGGTTTAAGAAGCATCTAATAAATATCAGCCCAGCAGCTAAGTCTGCTTATTCAAAATTTTAAAAAAAATAACAATCTAGACTTTCAATTAGAGCACTGCATTATTCCAGTTGTTAATTTTTCTGTTTCTGTGACCTTTCTTAATGTATGCAACTAACTTTCCAAATGTCACACTGGTTAATGGGTCTCATTAACTTTTACACAGAACAATGTACGTATTTACCCTCACAGCTGATGGAAAAAAGCTGGCAAAGCATCACGTCACTCCTGTTTCCATCACTCTTCACTGCCTTTTCACAACATGAGCCCGTGTTTTCAAAACGGCTAAAGGCACTTCAGTGCAACTTCCTAAAACAGTGTCCAGCATTCTCTGAATATCCGATCTCTTTTGGCTGTTCTACCTTTTCTTTCCTGTTAAGTACATGCTACATATTTTCTGCCACGACAAAGAAAAGGTCCATCTGTAACCCAAGCATTGCTAGCTCAGCAACAGAATCAAGCAAAAACACTGAAACAGAATAGTCTGACTCTAGGGCCATATTCCAGCCAATGTTAAATACTGAGTACATAGTTCTGAGAGGGGGGAAAAAAAAAAACAAAAACAAAACCCAAAGAACTCTCTGGAATTTCTCTCTCTTTAGAAACAGCTATTCCCTCCAAAGAAACTTACTGTGTTGGGCTTCATACTGCGCACCATGGTGCTGTAACTGCTGACTGCGCCTGTAACAGCCCTCTCCGGCTTTTAGAGCTTGCTTGAACAGCTTCTCTGCTTCTACAATCGTTGTTGCTTCCTCTTCGGCCAAGAGAATATAGGCAGTAGCACACCTGCAAAAATATCAGAGGAAAAACCATGAGAAAGTTGCATGAAGTAAAAGGTATACAAAGACATGCAGACTAGCAAGGATGTACCAAATACAGAGGCAATGGAGTTTTGTTCATATACCTTCCTGATGAACTATTCTGATGAATAAATATTCTGGCAACCAGATCACGACTTTCATTTGTAGGTACTGTATCACGTATCACTCAGCCACTTGACTAAACCTACTGACAACTGCTCCAGAAAGTAAAGTACTGTCTCACTAAGCAATCATGGCCTACATCACTAAAACTCCTTCTGGAAACCAAGACTAGTTTTATGCACTATTGTTTTAACACAAAATGTCTCCATTACTGTAATGGTATTAAGAGAATTAATAGACTTGTCATATGCAAAGAACAGATTATGAATGTAATTGTAGAGATTAAAAAACAAAAACAAACCTCCAAAATCAGGAAAGCAGCTTTAGGAATACACAGAAAGGTGAAATGTATTGTGGGAGTCACCTCATCCAGCTTTTAGCTGTCTAATTTAGATCTCTTAACTATCTGTGCCCCTCTACCTCCATCAAGGAGCATCTTCACACAGCCATTAATTTCACGTGTTTAAACATCTCTCTAAGAATAGGGTGAACGGCTGAATGGAGGTGCCTCTCTTATTGACTATAGAAGGAGCCCAGACAACTACTTGAAACTCGATGGCCACATTTTTAGCAGCTGAAGTTAGGTGGGACATAGCCTGTTGACTTCTTTCCGATCCAAAGCACACTGCTGATAAGATTCTTCTTTATATAGAACAGAATCAGGCTGCAGCTGCCTCTAGTTGCATTTCACAAAGAGTCATCAGCTGAGGAACAGGAAACAACAGGTCCGGGTGAAAATGAGATTCCAGGCACCAGTACTGGCTGGGGGCCACCCAGCTGGAAAGCAGCTTGGCAGAAAAGGACTTGAGGGTCCTGGTGGACACCAAGTTGAACATGAGCCAGCAATGCGCCTTTGCCGCTAAGAAGGCTAACGGTATCCTGAGCTGCATTAGGAGGAGCGTTGCCAGCAGGTTAAGGGAGGTCATCCTTCTCCTCTACCCAGCACTGGTGAGGCCACACCTGGAGTGCTGTGTCCAGTTCTGGGCTCCTCAGTACAAGAGGGACATGGACGTTCTGGATAGAGTCCAGAGAAGAGCCATGAAGATGGCTAAGAGATGGGAGCATCTCACATATAAGGAAAAGCTGTAAGCTGGGACTGTTCAGCCTGGAGAAGAGAAGGCTCAGGGGAGATCTCATCAATGTTTGTAAATACCTGAAGGTAGGGCGCAAAGAGGACGGAGCCAGGCTCTTTCTAGTGGTGCCCAGTGACAGGACCAGAGGCAACGGGCACAAACTGAAACACAGGAGGCTCTGTCTGAACATCAAGCAACACTTTTTTTTACTGTAAGGGTGACTGAGCACGGCACAGGTTGTCCAGGGAAGTTGTGGAGCCTCCCTCCTTGGAGATACTCAAAAGCCGTCTGGACATGGTCCTGTGCAGCGTGCTGTAGGTGGCCCTGCTTGAGAAGGGGAGTTGAACCAGATGACCTTCAGAGGTCCCTGCCAACCTCAGCCATTCTGTGATTCTGTGACATACAAGCAGAACAGGATAGGCTTATAGCTCACTTCTGCAAAAGCCTTTTATGCTACGTGCTCCCTCAGTTAAACTGCTGTCCAGGAACAAACAATTCTTTTTCTTCTTCTGATGAAACACACGAAGGACAATCTGTAAGGCACCAGTTTATGGAATTCTAGAATGCAGTAATCTCTGACAGCAACCTAAGGGACTCGCTCCACTTCATGCACTTTGGCAACATTTATGCAGTTTGCCATGCCAGTAAAGCATCGCAGCATTGAGTTTATTGTGGGATCTCAGAATACTACACTTCTCATTGAGAAAACAAAGAATGGTCTCAAAGACCGAAAGTCCCAGAAAATTACATCATATTCTCTCACATTATGAAATGAATATTTCAGAAGGTGTTTATGAGTCCCTTCTTTCTTGCCTCTGTTCAGGACGACTGAGAAATCCAAAAGGGAACTCTCCATCCCATAAATGCATATTTCATATGCTCATCAGGAGGCAATCTAATTAACACTTCACTGTGTTGATCCAAAGCCCACTGACATCAGTGGGAAGACTCCCATTGTCATCACTGCCCTAAGGATCTTCTGGGCAGCTAGCACAACATGCAGCTATGCTTTTTTCCTCCCACTGTAGGCCTTCCTGTGACAGGCCTGTAATCATGGTTAAAAATTACTGCAGCAAACCCCTTGCCTTAAGCCATCATCAAATGGATTTTTAAATGACAGGAAATAAATGTTAATGTTGTTGTCACTCACTCATTCAATTCCAAAGCTTCATGTGCTGCAGAAATTCGGGCTTGGGGATTTCTCTCTCTCCAGGCTTTTTGCATTACTATTCAATAAAAAAGCAGAACAGGGGCATATCAGTCATTACAGTGTTAACAAGGAGAATCTACTGCATTATAACAACAGAATTTATTGCTCCCAGCCTGACTCACTCCAGAGCATTTCAAAGAGCTCAGTGATCACTCAGAAGATACATAATCAACATGAGCTTTTGTCCCAAATACTCAGCTCTATTCTTTCATTTAATTAAACATCATGCCATCTGCACTGTCACATACAGAGGTGATAAGCAGCTTTTTCCTCTTGGGGAAGTAGATTCCACAGGGCACAAAAGAATACACGGGTAGCTGGGATTCTCACTCTAGTTCCTTACTGTGCTGTTGCTTTAGGTGAATGTTAAATGGAAACAACATCCAGGCCAATCAGACCACCTCATAATTGGCCCACTGAGTTCAGAAAATAGGATTCATGTTTATCGTGTGTCAAAAAAGCACACTACGTTTTCCCTTGTAATTATGCCCTCAGAATGAAGCGCCCAACTGTCAGTATCTCTCCTTTCCCAAGAGACAAAGAAGATTTGTCTCTTCAGAGGCAAATTCTGATGATCAAAATCATTGCGACACATTTTTAGCAGAACCGCACGTGGACTTAACAGTAAAGGCTTAATACAACTAAAGCTGCTTACATCAAATCCAGTTGTAAATGTGTTGTTCCCATTTTTTACAGAGCTTCTAACTACATCAGGGAATGAAACACAGGACTCAAGTTTTACATAAGCTCTCTCTCTTCTGTCAGCGTAGACTAAATGGGTCCTGGATAATGTAACTCAACATACTACACTGCAGTTGGAGGCAAATTAAGCTATACATGTTTGAAGCCACTGCAAGAAACAGGAGGAAAAAATAAGTCTTTACACTTGCAACTGGTCCTTGAATGACTTCAGCAAGAAAGTAGAACAAAAATAGTGACACAAATTAGATAGTTTATACGTATATAGATACTTGTTCAGATCTAGAATCCAACAGCAACAGCTTTCCGGGCACAATCAGACTTCTGCCTTTCCTTATCTATCCAAGAGAACTGATGTCTGACTGCATTTTTCTTGCATCAGTTTAAAACAATCATTAACCTATTAGCAAAAACAGCTGTTCACAAGGTCTCTTACTAGCGTCTGCAGGCCGCAAATGATCTGTGTCACATGTAAAGAATGTCTGATGGTCCTGTGCTGAAAGATTCATATCGTAGTAAGTCAAAGGTTCTCTCCCTGTTACCCATGTATACCTGCAAACATGCCAACAAAGAGACATTTTGGTTAATGAGGTCACATTCGGCAAAATGAATCTAGAAAAGAATCCTAGGCATTAGAGATGGACATAGCCTACTAAGTTCACCCAGTCAATCTCTTAACCAACATACACTGCATTTCACTGTACTGTGATGGAGCAACAGTAGTTGAACTTAAGCTAATGAGGATGTTGGAAAGTACATGCTGGAAATCGGTAACACACATATTCAAACATTAAGACTACATGAAACCTAGACATAATTCATTAGGTTGTTTTCTATAACTGATTTGAACAGAATTACTCTATTCACAGTACCAGCTACACTGCACTTAGGTTTTCCTTTTTTTTAATAAGATCATCAAAAATTGCACAAATAACAAGTGCTTGACCATGACTTTAAGTTCCTTTTCATTCAGAAACATTTTACAAGTAACAGAAAAACCTGGCATGAGCACATGTCCACAGTTGTTTTTGCTTTTCCATCTTCGAGTTAGATTAATGGAGAAGTACAATTAAGGTCCTTAACTCAGTACTACGCCTGAAACTGTAACATCGTAGCACTTACCGATTATATTCAGCTCCTCTGAACAGATTTAAAGGATTTCGCCAGACTTTGCATTCTGTCAGAAATAGAAACACACAATAATGAATCCCTCCCAAATCACAATGGTACTTAAGGTTTATCAGAAACATCAGTTACCTGCTAATGAGCCTTATCAAATAATTTTTAGTTTTTACAGGTGTGAATGGAAAAAAAAAATCAAGAGCATAAAGATGCAGGTAACCAGGCCGTTCTTCCTTTTTTAAATAATAATTTCGTTATAAATTAGTGTCTACAAATGTTATTATTATTCCAGACAAATAACCACTAACAGAGCTCCAAATGCCAGATGAAAAGATAATACTGATTAGTGCCAGGACTCACATTTACCATAATGCAGAACTGAAGAGGGATCACACTGGGTTATTGCGCTGAAAACCAGCAATTAACTCCGTCCCTATGGACTTGTTATTTCTACAGAAAAACTTCGCTGTCTAGTTAATACTGTAAATCACTGAGAAACTCAGCTACAGTTGCCAAATTTAATTCCTCCTTAAGCTCATGAAGTAAAAAAAATCCATGGCAACATCTGCTGACCTTATTTAGGTTATAAGCATCCAGGGTTGACAAAGGATGCTGGAGTTGATTGGCAGAGAAAAGTTCATTGCATTGCAAAGGTTTGGAAACACTAAAAGCATTTCATACATTTCTCTCAAGGGGGAAAAAAATGCAAATTCTTCAAACTACAGGTAGGAAGAGAGAAGAAAATCCACGACATTGGAATCTAGAACAGAACTCCCCCAAAAAACCCCAAAAATCAAAAATAATTTTCTATAGCTTTTGAAAAGGTGAAGTCTTGATTCTGGCTTTTCTTCCTTTAATTTAACACCAGATTTGTTCTCTTCATTTCAACAAAGACAATTCACTCCAGTCAAGGTGAGACCAGAATCAAACCCAGTATTTGCCACAAAGCCTTACTGAGAGGCACCACAAATCTGCTACTGGACGACACCTCACATGGTGCTCTGCAAAAACTCGTTAGTAGCATCGGCCCTGCAGCATTTCACCAGCTGCTTTTCACCACCAAAAGTCAAAGAGCACATTTTTCCCTATGAAATTCTGTGACATCGTTTCTAAAGAGATCACAGCAATAGTTTTCTGGTGAGATACTGAGTCAGCAGGGTATCTACCCTACTTTATACAACACTGGCAAGTATAGGCCTGTTCCCTTTATGTCCATTCCATTAAAGAAAGAGACAGAAATACAGAATGGCAAGTCAAGTCCTCTTTTCCCATGGACCTAGCTCCCACTTCTGAGTATGAGGCTAAAATGGCATGGCAAGAAAGCATTTTACATAAATTATTTACAATAACATAATGACATCTGCAGCTACACAAAAACTAGTCAAGCGGCATAGGAGGCAGGCCCTCAGCTTAATCCCTAAATCACCTAACGTGCATGAAACAGAGACACGAGAAAGGGAAGATGTATGGGAAGAGAGCATTGATTATACATCTGCATCTTTCAACTCACCACTTCAGCAGGTAGCTGATACCAGAAAGCTCCACTAGTTTACTCAGCAGAAGTGCTTGATCGACTTTCAGCCATTCTGTTGTGCAGCCAGAGGGTACGGCTGTTTGACAAGCTTCAATTTGACAGTTTTTACATAATATGACTTTCAAACCATAGTAAATATTAAATAAACATCAGCCTTCTCAGTTCAGAGGTACAATTCAATGGCTTGGCTTACTCTATTTGCAACCAACAAGATCAGGCAACAACTATTTGATCACAGTGACACCATTCTTTTTGCTCATCTTATTTAAATTTAAGTGGTTATACTTTATCCAAAGTATGCAGTACTCAGCACTGTAGCAGGGAAAGGGGTAACTGGGGAACAAAAAGGGGAGGTGAAGAAGGGATTTTATTACCACCTCCTGCCCTGGGGGTAGTTTGGCATCTGTCTGGCTAGTTAAACACGATATGCTCTTTGTTGCTTTTGTCTTGGTATCTGCTGATACTGCGGGCTCAGTACAACAACCATTCTTCTGAAGACAAAGATATCTACTGCAATATTCTACCATATTCAAAACATCTACACAGGGAAACATGGTGAGCCAAGTGAAAAAGCCATCTTCACCTTGTTGGATAGTGAAAGAAATATCCCAGTGTTGATGCATGGTAAACTGAAAAGGTTGTCTTTTCTCTTACATTACAAACTAATAATATAACCATCTCCTTATTTTATATAAGCAATTAGGATTTATTGAAGATTAATCTTTCAGCTCCTTGTTCAATGATCAAGTTTTGAGCATCGGTATCTTTCTGAAGGTATGAATGTCAGGCTATCTGTACAGACATACTATCCAGAGACACTGTGAGTCCCAACTCATAGACTCGAGTGCCAACACACTGAAAGCAAACACACTCCTAGACCATTTCTTTATATCAGAAAAGTCAAGATGCTTGGGTGAACCTCGTTAGTCAAAATACCGTGCCTTCTGCTTTAAAACGATGGGAGTTATTTCAGAGCTGCTGAAGTGTGACTGAGCACGCTGATGAGTGCACACAGGTGTTTCCAAGCCACCCCATGCTTTCTGCCAGTTCACCCAAATCTAATATGCTGGATCATGCAGTGCTGCTATTCACAGCCTCTCCTCAGATGGGAATGACAGCAGCTGAATTTGCTGTGCTATATGGAGGCTTCCTTAAGTAGAAATACTCAGTATAGAGCAAGGTTTTTTGAGGCCACCTATTTTATTTAACTTGTGAGTTCAAAGCTAATTTTTGTTTGCTTGTTTTCATGAACTCTGAAGAGCAAAAATAAAGTTTGCCAGGTACAGACATAGGCACCTCAGCTGCTGAACAATGATGTTTTCTCCATAACTGAATTTGTTTTGTTGTTTTTTTTTTTTCCATTCACTTTTCCTCACCTGTTAATTCTGATATATTTTAAAAGCCTGCAGAGGAAATAAATTTAATGAAACCATAATTGATTCTAGGGGCACATCCCTAATAAAAGATGAATTAATTTCTAATATTAAGATTATGGCCTGTATGCCAAGCTAGGGCTGAAACAGGCAAGCTTCATTTTACAGATGAGGAACACAAGCCGAGATGCTCCTGCCCTGACTTTCTTTAACAGTGAGTATGTCCAGCTCAGGTCAGAAGCCATAGTATTTCAGCATCTTCATCACTCATGGGCTAAATTTTCAATTAACCCCCCCCCCAGGTAGCTGAGCCACCCAAGCAGGGAGACAAGTTCCCCCGGGACTCCTCTTGAGTCTGCAAAGATCAGTGCTTGGGAGACTGATTCATTTTAGGCAGAGTGGCCTGCCTCTCAGGGGAACCATCCCCAGGCAACCAGGCACCCAACTCAGAGCGCCTCAGCAGAATCCCAAAGCCTGTGACCTGCAGGGATAGTCCTCCTGCAGCAGAACTGTAAAAGGACTCAAGCTGCCTCCGTTCAAAACTGACATCCTCCCCTCCATCACGTAAGAGCTGTTTTCTTCTGATTTAACATTGTCTTTTTCACCAGAGCAAATGAATGTGGATTCATTGTAGTAATATATAAATGCATAACAAAAATTACAACCCATACATTTATACCACTCATGTAAGGCTCACGAAACACCTCCTCAATCATATGTTCATTCAGAATAATCATACGCATTGGAAAAGAAGCCCCAGAGTGTCCAGGTCAACTTTAAAGGCTTGAATGACTTAGACACTTTCAGTCTGATTTGCAGCACCCACTCCTTGCACGGAAACTCATAGGAGACGTGAATGCCTGGAAACTCACGAAAATCGAGCCCAAATGCCTAACATCAGGCCCCCTAAGTTGGAGGCCTCTTTTTAAAACCTGACTGTGTTATGACTTGCCCAAAGTCACGAATTAAATCGGTGGCAGAGTCAGGAACAGAACAAGCCCTTAAGCTATTAAAAGCCACTGTGCTTCCACTTACTAAAGTGAGACTCAAATGCTGTTCACACACTACTTACATTATCTAAAAAATAAAGTGATGCAAAAGCAGGTAGGCATTCCCGACATCTTTTTCTGAATTATTTTTTACAATGTTGTTATTATTCGAAAGAATTTAAATAAAAATACCTCCTGCCTTTAGAAACGGTATTGCAAAAAGAGCACGTGCAATTTAGCAGGGCTACAAGAGCAAGGGGGAAATAGATGTGCTGGCAACGCAGCCTAAGCAACAGGCACTGCATGGATTTGGAAAGATATAATTAGCCAGAGCAATTAATGAAGCAGCTCTGCCTTTTATTTGACAACAACGCAAGTTTAAAGGAAGCCTTAGCTGGTCTCACGGCTCGGCATGAGACGGTATGTGCACCGCGGGCCGAC